TCGTCAGAACATCTGGAGACGCTTTAACAACCAGGTCACTGGACACTTTAGATTTTCTGTTTCCCCCCAAACAGGATTCATTTTCCACTTTCCTTTAATCACAAAAACTAAAAAAAATGCACAATATCACCAGAAAGGACAAAACCCACCGTCACCACAGTGAAGCACGGCGGCGGCAGCATCATCCAAACCTCCACATCTTCTACATGACCGAGAAACACAGAGAATCTGAAATCTGCAAATCTCATAAAATTCTACTTGAAACCAGCAGATGAATCAACAAACAGCTGAAGTGTGACGTGATCGATTCACGGCTCAAAGGTTTTTTCTTTACGACCAGAAAAGTTGCAACTCGTAAAGTTTTTCCTGAAAATGAGCGACAGACGAATCGATTGTTGTGATCGACCTGAACTGACGTAGAAACTGAAATAAAAGAGGATTAAAGGAGGATTAACTTCCTCTGCTGGTCCAGACTCACTGAGCAGCTTTTATTTTGAAGGCGGAGCAGATGAAGACGTGAGCTGCGTCTCGGCTGCATCGCTTATCGATCGTATTGATCAGCGCCGGCGCTCAGAGCGAATGGGCCGGTTGATGAAGTGATGCTGGAGCAGATCCGGATCAGACTCTGGATCAGAGACGCTGCAGCCGACGGCTAAACCAGAAAACAACGAACTCAGAGTGAAACCTGCAGCTTCTGCATGAAGACAACCTGCAAAGGTTCTGGTCAGAAACCTGCAGGTGGAGCAGAAAACATGTAAACAACTGAACCTGCAACGCTCAGTGCTGCTGAAAACCCTGGTTGGTTCATCACGACAAAAAACTGGAACAATAACTAAAAAAAACAATAAATAAATAAATAATAACAATAACCTTAAAAAAACTGAAAAAATAACTTTAAAAAAATGTAAATAATAACTAAAATAATGTAATAATTACCAAAAAAACTGTTAAAATAACTGTAAAAATAATGTTTACTGTTATTTTACAGATTTTACCTGTTTTGTTAAATTCCAAATAAAATTTAGTAAAATCTCAGAATCGACATTTTAACTGTAAATAACATGAAAATCCTGCATTTTTACAAACAGGAATTTGTTCAGTTACAATGAAATTTACAATAATTGGCTGAAAAATGTCACGACTTTACTGTAAATCAGTTAAAACATCCCGGTCACACTTGTTCCAGTTGTTTTTACCAGTTTTAGTTTTATTTTTAACACTATTCCACCGTGTTTTTACGTCTTGCTGCTAAACTTTTACCCCTTTTTGGGTCTTTGAGGTTTTTATGTGCTTCATTTGAACCGACCCTGAAACTTTCAACGCGCTGCTCGGCGCCACCGGAGCGGATCATCGTGGAGTTCTGCAGCGAGTTCAGGAAAATATATCGGAAATGTAAAGAACAGATCTATGCTATTCCTGCTAAAACGCACTTCCTGTAGCAGCAGAGAGCATCATGGGAGTTCAGCACCATGACGGAGGCTCTGAGGAGGTTGATGAGGTCCGACCAGAACCGACGGGTTGAAAACCAACTGAGACCGACAGAGTTCCTGAACCATGAGTCTGAACCTACAAACTGATTGACTGTTAGTCTGAATTAGCATCATTAGCATCATGATCATCTTAGCATCATGAGCATCTTAGCATCATTAGCATCATGAGCATCTTAACATCATTAGCATCATGAGCATCTTAGCATCATGAGCATCATGAGCATCATTAGCAT